GGGGAGGGAGGGAGGGAGGGGATGTTAATCCAAACAGCTAATCCTCAACCTACTGAACAGGAGGACCAGAGATACGGTATAGAGCAGGGTCTAGTTATTTGCTTAGCAGTGTGTCAGAGAGATATGAGCAGCCTGATTTAGAGAAGGCAAGGCAAATTCAAACCAGCCATTTGGAATCTGTCGTGCTGTGGGAGGTGAGCACTGGGTCAGCAAAGTTCAGGCGGGTGGCTGCAGCCTGAACTTCCTTCCTTTGCACCCGCGTCTCCTCCGCAGCCTCTGCTCCTTGCAGTACCTGCGGTAACAGCAGCCGTGCTGATGCAGGTGAGAGCTTTCTGGAGCAGGGTCTCTACAGGATTCTGCTACTGATGCTCCAGCTGGTCCAGCTCAAGAGCTGATGGCCTCTTGCCTTTCTTCACACCCAGTCCCCTTTATCTTTACTCTTCTCACGCACAGACCAATTTGGGTAGTTCAGTAAAATACCCAGGGTCTGGAAAAGAGATGTAGATAGGAGCAACCTACCTGAAACTGAGAACCACTGAATAGATGTGTATCAGAGAACAGGGACTGGCCCAAGCCCCAAGTCTCACCTCCTTGGCTCATCTCGCTGTCCTTGACTGTTGTATAAGGTTTCTTTGTTTACAGCTTGCTCTCCTTCTGTCCTTCCTCACCTATAGATTACCCTTCAGTGATAGAAGATAGTTCAACAGTCTTCTCTGGCCTTTACCTTTCCTAAAGCATCTTTGCCTGTGCTTTGTTTGAGCTTTAGTTGCTTTGTTTGTATGTCTTATCTAGCCCTTTGACACAGACAGATAGCCCTTCCTCAGTGCCTAGTCTTGCCTCTGCCTACACTCACATTTATTTTGACCTACTCTCTGATTTTTTTTGCCTAAGTATGGAACTGTGAAAAAGAAGGTATAGAAAAACCTTGAAAAAGTCAACTCCCCCCTTCCCCACCTCCACTGATAAAAAGAAATGATCCCACACCATTCTCAGCCTTTTTTTTTTTTTTCTGCTGGCTTTTCCTCCACATGTTGGCACTGAGAGCGTGAGATTTGTGAGCCCAGGGTGCATCCAAGCCTGCCACAAAACACCTGCTGTTTTATTCCATCTCACTCCATGGGTACAGGCCAGCTCTGGGGGCAGCTGGTGCTCACAAATTTTGAGACACTTCTCATATAGGAATTACATTTAGACTTCTATCTATTGAAATGTGTGTGTGAATGAGTGTACTAGTATAAATGCTCTTCCTTAATTGCTGGGAGAATAGGATAGTGTGTCTACATGGAGAAAAACTTCCTCTCCTTTAAAGGAGAAGAGTTTTCACTGGCATTTTGCTGTGTGAAACGTTGGTTATAGGCAGCTGTGCAGTAAACAGCACATGAACAGATCTTATGCCCACAAGCACTTTGGCCAATGACAATCCTAAATAAAGCGCATTGTGCGGGCTGTTGCTGGCCTAGCTGCCATGCGCAGGTTGGTCCATCCTACAATACACGTAGTTAATGAGAATGCAGTCCTGTGCCCTCCTGTCACTCTGCTAGCTTGTGCATCTGACCTGCAAAACCACCTGCCTACGTTATTTCTTGGCATCAGCCTGTTGTGCCCAGTTCCATTGCAGATTTTATGATGTGGATAAATCTCTACTGGAGAGACCAGCCAAAGTTGTTTGTGTACTCTAAGCATAATTGGATACCCAGTCTCCAGAGATAAAAAATTAATGTGCTAACCTCAGTGTGCCTCCAAGCTGTCCTCCAGCTCCCCCACACAGTCATCTTTGAAACATTTTTATTTCCATCCAGGCAGGGGGCTGGCCATGAATAAATGACGAGAGTCAGCCCCTCAGTTGGAGACGAGCTGTTTGTTCCTCTCCACAAGCAGCATCAATTTGAAAAGCTACATCAGGCCTACTTTTTCCCTGCCTCCGTGCTGATCCTTGCTGGGGTCATGATGGGAGCTACTTCTGAATGCAAGGATGCATCAAGGCCTACCTTGCAACAAGATACCCTGCAGCAGGTGCCTTTTCAGTGAAAATATGTACATTACCTTGAGTTGACTTCTCATTAGTTTAATCTGTTTGGTTTTTTTCTTTTTCCAGAGCTTGTTTTTATAAGGAAAAAGACTCAGACTACTAGAAGAAACGGTAGTGATTGCAGACTTTGGAACTGTGTAACGATTTCCTCTCAAACCCTGCTTGCAGCTGTAGGTTTCTCAGACTTTTGCGCCTGTGTTTCAGAATGCTGAGGAAAAAAATTATTTGTTTAGACTTTTGGAATAGTGGACTATCCCAAACTAGTCTCCTACGTACAGGGACACACAGGGAACTTTTCATTGTTTTGTTTGCAGTTGTGGGGTTTTTTTTGATAGTTTGGGGTTTTTTTGATATATGCCTGGCCAGAACCTGAAATGCTGTCAATGTACAACTCTCACTGAAGAGAAGCAGGTAGTGCTTCTCAGTAGTTTCTGGAGAAACATTTCCAATTTGAAATAGTTTTTGAAAACCATGTGTTGCTTCAATAACACGTCAGCTCCTGAGACAGAATTGTATCATTTATGTGGTTTTTTTTTCCTTTCTTGCTATGTCCTTTCTTTTTTTCTCCTCTATGTAGAATTTGAACCACGTAAACCCCAAAAGTTTTGACTGAATTTGCACTTAGGTGCTCTGCCTTCTTACTCCTCCAGTGAGCAATTTCCATATCCAAAGCCTACAACATGTCGCAGGGACCCATTTCACAACA